TTCTTTCTTTCTTTCTTTCAGTGCTGTCCTACTGATCTGCTGCTCTTCAAGCCAGGCAACTCTCTTTGCTCTGAAGGTGAGCTGGTTAGATACTAGAAGTAAATGGGATCAGTTCCAACTTGGTGAGGGGAAAAATCACATGAATGTTTGTAGCATATAATGCTTTTATGAGAAGAAACATGAGAATTCACTTTTTGTCCCTGTTCTTTATCTCCTAGACTGCCAGGTAACACCTAACATGAGCCTTTTAACTGCACTGGACTGAGCGATAAAACCAATCTGCAGATGCCTTGTGAAGAGGTGGGTTTTCAAATTCACTTTAACCCAATTCTTTCCAGGTTAACAATCGTATTTGTGAGTGCAGATGAGCTCAACCCACCCCCCTTCTTTTTTGACCTCCTCTCCCTTCTGCTGACTCATCCTGAGGTCCGCAGAAAGAAGTTGTCCCTCTTGAAGCTCTTGTTCTTCTGTGTCACATCCTGACAGGGCTCAGCTTCATCTCTGATGAGACAGGCAGCCTTAGGAAAGGCTCTGACCTGAGATCCAGAACCTAATTCTTGTTCCTTGTTGAACTTTATAAATTGCATCTGTGCCTCAGTTTCCTTCTGTGTACAATAAGGAGTTTGGTCTGTTCCAGCAATTCCTGAAATTTTCTTGGTGCCAGGATTGAGTGGACTTTTAGAGAATCTCCTGTGAAAGTTTGTTAAATACACAAAGGTTCTAATCCTGCAAGTCCTGGGCAGAATAAGACAAGGAAGAGAAACCATACTTCTACAAAGTTTTCAGTGAACTTAGTCTGTGGTCAAATCTAATACTCATGGGATGGGTGACCTCAAAATTCAAGGTGGAGTTTCCCTTGCCTCCCTTCCCGGTCAACAGGGGAACAGATTGCTCTCCCACACCTTCATTTTTTCCACTGCACATACTTCTCTCTTCAGCTCTCCTTTCTTGACCACATCCCCTCCTCTGACCCAGGACAAACCTTGCCCCATTCACTGTCTTTTCCCTTCCCCCCAAATATTCACTGTCAAACTTCTGGTAAGAACACCTAACATTCCTTCTTGACAAAGTGTTCATCTCTGGACTCCAGCACCTCCACCTGCAGAACTGACATGTTCACTTGTTGTTCACCCTGCAGCCACCTTTCTAAATGCCTTGTCCTGCCCTGCCTCAGCAGCGCCCAGAATTCCCTAATATTTAACTGCACCCTTTCTAATCTCTGCAGCTCAACTCTCTCTGCCCTATGTTCTCCTGGACATTTGGGAACTTCCCTACATTTGGGAACTTCCTGCTTGGCTTTCCTGTTCCCCCAACACTCCCTCCCAACAGTTGTTCCTTTACACTCCAAAGTTCTCCCATCTGGGTCTCCTTAGCATGTTATGCTGATTTATAGTTTTCCTTCAAATCTGATCTCCCCTCCACTCACACCTGTTGGTGTGTTGGTGCCCTCCAGTCTGGTTCCCAAGCTTTTGTGAGTGATGGCACATAGCCTCCTTCATGGAGCTGAAAGATGGTTGTTTTCTGGCTAATAAAGTTATACTAAGATGCACAAATGCTCTCTTCATCAGAACAGAGGAACAAGATGCTATTTTCTTTATGGTAGATTGAAAAGAATTATACAAATGATCATCTTAGGTGTAGGGAGGAAACACTCTATGAGGGGGGAAATACTTTGACTAAATTCACTGAAAACTTACAAATACATATTTGTAAGAGCTATTAAGTGGAAGAAGACACCATCCCCTTCAGGCTAGCATTTCTCCCCCCTGGTCCCCACCTTAGGTAGAGAAAGGCATGCAGAAAAGAAGGAACTTGCACAATACCTGCAGCAATATAACAATGAGACATCACAACAGTCCAACAGCCTGGGTGCTCCACCCCTTCCAGCCCAGATATACAGTGTCCCTCGTACAAAATGCTAGATTACAGCTTAACCTTATTGTGCAGTTCTGCATGGGCTGAAGGAGAAACTGGCTCCAAATCAAATGTTAGGTGAATCAAACAAACTGTAGGATAGCCTGTAGAACACCCATACCACAGTCGGTTTCTATGCCTCCACAAACACAGGAGGGGTAGAAACAGATCTAGAGTGATCATTTCAATTAATAGCAGTTATTATCTCTGGAAAGGGTCTGCAATTGAAGACAGGAAGTCAAAGAGAATTTGCTTCTACCCTTTTTATACTTTAGGGTAATATTGGTATAAACTGAAATAAATTAGTAGTATCTTAAATGTATAGCTGAGTTCCCCACTGCATTCTTTGATTCAAATCATAAGAAGGTACGGAAGAAGGGGGTCTCCTAGTGGGGGTTCAGCCATGAGCGGAGGAGGGAGGAAGTCAGCTCTAAGGTTTTAGCTTGTTTCACTTTCATCCAGGCTTGTCGAAGGACAGAGAACATGACTACAGGAGACCCAAAATAGCTGAGCCCCCAAATAAGCAGGCAGATGACAGACTGTTCATATGACCAGGCAAAACCACATAGCCCCCTACCTCTTGGCTGAGGGAAAGTCATGGAATTCCTCGTTTCCCATATGGATGCCTGGGATGTTGACTTGAGGACCCAGTCTTTGGATGCTAGGGAGAAAAGGGAAAAAGAAAACAGATGAATACCCACCTTTCTACCCCCTCTGCTGGCTTCTAGCATCTAAACAGAAAAGTGCTCCTTTACTGGGCACCTAGTCTGTGCCAGTGCAGAGACTTGTCTCCATGAAGAGGGTGAGGGGTATCAGGTTCCCAGCCCTGCCCAATGAGGTGCAGAGCTGAGCAGCCAGGTGAAGCTAGAGATGTGAGAGAATCATGGCTCCAGGAGCACAGAGACATGAGAAGAATGCTTTTGGGAGGATGCTTTTCAGATTTGGATGTGCATCAGGGACTTGAAGGATGTAGAAGAGATACATGGATGGGAGATACTTGCAGAAGCTGACAAGGCAGCCATTTCTTTGATTTGTGCTTTGATTTTGTCCTAGACTTGCCTGGCCCCTTGCCCCTGTGGGTCCTGTGGGTCCCACCAGAAGGTACCTAGGACCTGTGGCAAGATTTCAGGCCTCAGAAGCCCTGTTTTGGGCCAACAGGAGCCCAAAACATTTATCCACAAGGAGATGGGTATTTATCCACAAGGAGATGTGTAAGTTTGAGTGTTTCATTGGGAAATTACATCCTTTCTCTTCTTCCCTCTCTATGCACAATCATTTACAATCTGCCATACTAAGAGTACACTTTGTCTTTATGTGTTGGATGGTAGGGCCTTTTTAGAGTGTGCAAGTTTGGGAATGCCAAGATACCCCTCAGTCTACCTGCCAATACAAGGGATAGTCATGAATTTTCTCATTTACTTCTTGGGAAGAGCCACAGGAGAGTTATTATGATTCTCATCTTACCAAAGAGGCCCAGAGAGATTAAGCAACTTTCCCAAAGTTGCACAACACCTAAGCTGTGGGATTTACACCCAGGAAGTGTGGCATTGGAGCACAGTGAAACTCCTACCTCACAGCCTCTATGTTTGGACTTACAAGCATGGACTTACTTGTTCCATACAAGTCAGTCTTCCTCTGTTGATTTGCAACCCTTCCCTGTGAAGGTCTCTGCTTTCACTGAGTGCTTGTTAAGGTGCCGGCACTCAACCAAGGTCTTTATGAACCTTGGACCTGGGAATAACTAAGGCCAGAGACCCCCAGCAAAAAGTAGTACTGGGGCAGTTAAGCCCCAACTCCCCCAGAGATGTGGATCAGGTCTTACTTCAGGGTACTCTGAGTGTCTGGATGGCAGTAAATGCCTATGGGACGAGTGATGGCTGGATGAATAGACCCACGAATGCAAGAATTCTTCTGCTGCAAAAAGTCTTTGAGTCAAGTGAGTATACACCTTGGCAGCTTCAACAAAGAAGAACCAGTACTTGGAACTAGCAAGAAACAGCCCAGCATCATTTGGCCTTGAGTGGAGACAAGTGTCCTAGACATGACCACCACGGAGAGTCTAGAGGATGAATCAGTGCCAGTACACCCTCTGTCTCTCTCACTGTCTCAGGCACAGATAAGCCACAAATGTTCCGAGTTTGTCACCAGGGGCTTCCTGGCATTCAGGATCCAAAGTCATCTCTACTGAGCTGATTCAATAACATGCATCCTCCTCTATCCTGGGAATGAGGGAAGACAAAGAGACAGCTTTGTCCACACACCTTCAGATATGCATGAGGTAGTGTCCCCAGGAGCCACCTGGGTGCTAGTCTGGGGCTGGCTGGGAAGATAGAAAATGTCTGATTCTGAAAGAGAAACAAATTTGCTAATTTTAGCCCTATGTTAGAGTTAATCATGTAAGCTGGAATACAAGTGTTCATGCTGAGTGGGGGGGGAGTGGGGTACAATTTTTATAGCTCTCTGTGATTTTCAATAAAGTTCAGGTTTTCTTCAAGGCTTATGAGTTATTTTTAGGATCAAAAGAAAAAAAACTACAAATGTTCCATTTTTCAGATGATTATTTTAAGAACCAAGGAATTTAAAAATACATATAAAAAATCATTTGGTTTAGTGTCCATGGACTTCAAGTGACTAAAAAGAATATAATAGGATTCTCCAGTCAGTATTGAAAATATAGTTAAATTAGTCAGATCTTCCTGAGGCACAAAATGTCCAAGAATACCTGCAAGTGCTCTTAATATACCTGCTCTTACCTCAGCATCAGAGGGTGAATGTATGGCAGTTCTGATAAGTTTCATAAGTAATGGAGCTTGTGACCCTGTGAGAGGGCCAAGATACAAGTCAAGAAAAAAGCTGGGGGCACCCCTGGTGGCCCAGGGGTTAAGTGTCAGCACTATCATCACCATGGCCTGAGTTGAATCCCCAGCCAGGGCACTGACCCCCACCATGGCGCAGCAGACTGCTTCAGCCACTGCTCCCCTCGGCAGTATATTTCAATGCATCTCCCTGTTCTGCTCCCCACTCTGTTTTGCTCTGAACCTCTCACCCCCTGCACCTCTGGCCTGTACCCCAGTTCTTCTACACAAAAATAAATAAACAGAAATCTTAAAAAAAGAAGAAAGAAAAAAGCAGAGAGGGGAAAAAAAAGGATAATGACTCAAATTAGATCACTATCAAGGATGACTTTAAGGCTTCTAGAAGCCCTTCCTCAACCCCTTCCTCACATCCAGAGACTTCATCCTGCACGATGGAACCAGGGTCTGACTGGGGTGACTCCGACCCTCCTCACTAGCTCATCCATAGCATCTCCAGGACTCCCAGGAGGACAAGTGAAGAACCAAATACACTAACCTCTCAAAAACATAAAGGGAAAAAACTAAAATTAAGCAAATATGAAACAAAGAGAATGTACAGAGTAGTAAAACCCACCCTTCCCCCACCCCCACCCCCACACACAGGCCCTGGGCATTCCCACACAGGAGAATTCTTTCCCAGGGGCTGCCTAAGACACACCTGACCTGCAGCAGAGAAAGGGTGACCACTGTATCAATACCTCCAGTGAACATGGGTCCCTCGGGGGAAGGCTGGGTGGGCAGAAGAGCCGAGGTCACCTCCGAGGGGGCACTCGGTGTAGTAGAAGGGCATATGGTGGCCGTGGTCAGGGCAGCAGTGGTTGTCTGAAGAGGGGTCTGGGTTGTGAGGTCCAGGGTGGCAATGGACATGGTTGGAAATACCCTCGTTGCTACATGGGTCCCAGCAAGGGTGGTCCTGGCAGTCGTGGTCCTGGCAGTCGTGGTCCTGGCAGTCGTGGTCCTGGCAGTCGTGGTGCTAACAGTAGTGGTGGTTGTGCGGCGGGTGGAGGGTGGGGCTGCAAGGGAGAGAAGACACAGAGGGTGCCATGAAGAAATGGAGGAAAGGTGTAGAACACAGGTACTGTGAAGTCTGTCTATTTCTCCCCCTTATGCTGCCCCAACTGGGCTTGAGCACTGTGGAAATCAAATCTCTTGCCCTTTCTCCTGGCTTTTCCAATCTGCCTACCACACATAGGCTAGAGTGATCTTTTAAAATCTAATTCCATCCAATATTACTCAGCAACCAAAAAAAAGAAACATGTCTTTTGCAGCAACATGGATGGAGCTGGAAAAGATCATGCTTAGTGAGATAAGCCAGAAAGAGAAGGAAAAATACCGGATGGTTTCTCTCATAGCAGGAATATAACGGAACAGGCGAGAAAATAATGATAATGATGAACAGCTATATACCAGAGACATTTTGTGGGGGTGGAGTGGACAATGGGATCAAAAACAATGGGGGGAGGGAAATGCACTGGACTATGGTAAGGATACATGGGTGATTTGGTGATGGGAAGCCCAAGGGGATTGCAACTGAGATGGAAAAATGCACAAAAATATGTTAAAAATAAATTATTATAAAATAAATAAATAAAAATGAGACATTGGAAAAGTTAAAAAAAATCTAATTCCATTCATTTCTACCTTTGAACTTTTCACTGGGCCCTCTTTGCCCTTAAGCTAAGGAACTCAAGCTCCATCTTTGGCCTGTAAGTCCCCTCCTGACCCGCCTTCCTTTCCCAGTCTCCACTGTACTCCACGCATTATGTCCCATCCCACGGGCCCGGCTTCAGCTCTTTGAACATACGAGGGACCTTCTGGCTGGGTCAGGGCCTGTTGCTCCCTAGTCTCTCTTCATTTGTTGACTCCTGCTGGGCCCTCCTGACTCAGCTAAAAGGATCCTTCAGTGAGGAAGTCATTGATATTTGACAATTAGGTCTCGGGTTATGTGTTCCCATATTTGGCCTTCACTCATTTACCACATTTCATGACTATATTTATTTGATGATCATTGCCTAAATGTCTGCTTCCCCACAGGACTGAGAGCTGCCTGAGGGGAAATCTGGCATCTGTGCTATTTTAGGCTGCAGCTTGCACAGCGACCACTGTGTGAGGGGTATAGTAGGTGTTCCAAATGCATTGTAGGTGAGCAAATGAGCAACTGCCTCAAATATGAGGCCAAACATAAAACATAAAAGTCAAACAGGGTGAATAAGCTCTAGAGAACAATCGTACAACACTCTACCCATAATAACAATAATATATTGGACACCTGAAAATTTGTTGAGAGGGCAGAGCTCACATCAAGTGTTTTTTCTACAATAAAATAAAATGAAAATCTAAAAAATAAAAAGTAAGCCAAAGCATGCATCAGAGGGTGAGAATGCAATCTCTTTCAGATATCCAAGACTGGTTCATTCAACACCATTCACCCCCAAACACTTGAACTTGGGTCCATTACCCACAGTGATCTTATAGATACCACCCTCTCTTAAATATGCCAAGTTTCCATTAACTCTAATGAGCCAGAAAGACACCATTAGTTGTGAATGAACTTAGAAATGACCCCATAGCATATTGAGGGCAACAAGTATTCAGGGGAATTATAGCTGGTTACACCAGGCTTGAAGAGAAGCCTCAGACGGGCATCATTTAACTTTAACAGACCTTATTTTCGTCTTCTGCAAAATCAGAATTTGAGAACTTCTCTCTCAAAGTTGTGGAGAGAAAAATACACTAATGAGCATAAACGTTTTCTAATTAGGAGCACCATCACAGTTGTGGGAGAATCTTTGAGTATATCTACCATCTGAGAAACCTGTTAAACATACAGAGACCCCCAACCCTGCCTTCTGAGATGCCAATTAGCAAGGCACACACCGAGAGCCCTCGCCCCTATCACGGAGGATAGATAGCACTTGAGAGCCTCCATATTCCATATTCTTGATGAGAAGAGGAGGTGACAGCATCATGCATCCAGGCGCCACCCTCCCACTGTTCAGACCTTTGGGCACTCCTCCATATCCCAAAGGTCAACCAAGGCAAAGGAACACAGCAGGAAGAAAGAACGCTGAACACCACCCCGTCTCCATCTGCCACCTCCCTTCCCTCTGCCAGACATGGCACCCTTGCACAGCAGACTGAAGCTGACCTGCAAGCAGATTTTATTGCACTATTGTCACACAGTAGTTTTTCAAATTCTGAAATCTCTGCCAACATGCAAAACTTAATATTGTTCACATAAAACTTGGGAACTCTGAAAATACTGGGTGCAAATTACTGCAAGATGACAGTCTCCTAGATAAAAAGCAACTGGTCCTTGAGATGGCCCCTGTGGGTCCCTGCTCCCTTCCTCACCTGTCCCCACCCTCGGACCGCACCTGTAGTGATCTTCTTGGCCTCCCTGGGCATCTGCTCCTCCAATCATCGGATCCCATTCTGACTGAGTCTACACACTCACAGCTTGGCTGCCCACTGGGCCCCTCACCTGGACTGTCCCTTTTACAGACACAGGCCCCAGGGTGGCTCACCTCCCAATAGCTGCAGGTGGATATTTTTCTTCACATCGTTGAACCATCCTGGCACTTCGATACGACAGCAGTACACACCGCTATCACTGGGACTGACGTCACTGATCTCCAAAAACAACTTGCCAGTCGGGATATTCCCCGAAAGTGTATATTTAGATGACTTCCTGGAGACCACTGATGATCCGTCTGTGCTGATAAGCTCCTCATTGCATCTGGATTTGGGGCACTGGCCTTTGCCCCAGCACATGCTGTTTCGGTTCTGGGACCAGGATGGATACATGCAGGGCAAAGTCACTGTCTGCCCCCAATATGCCTTCACCACTGTCTCCGACACAGCTGAAGCTGCAGGAAAGATGAGAAAAGATGAGAGAAGGATGAGGGGTGGCACTGAGAACCTCAACATGCCACAGTGAGGAGCAGATGGATGCTTCTGGAAGATGGAGAGCATTCTAGAGCCTAATTCTTGATGTGCCCTTAACCACTGCTGAGTTCCTAACTCAACATGCAGTTAAGACTCCAGCGACCAGTCCTGAGCCTTTAACCGTAATCCACCGACTCCAACAACAGTCCAAACACAGCACCATGCCCACTGCCTCTCAATAACAGAGATCATAGGCCATCAACATGACACCCTCAAACTGGTCACCCTTGGTCTTCAACCAGTGAGTCTAAGGCAAGAATACAGGCTGTTGAATTCAATTCCATACTGCATTGCACTGAATTTGTGTGCTATTAGATAATATGAACCAGCTTGTGACATTTTTTTAAAGACTTTTTACTTATTTATGCAGACAGGACTGGGGTACAGGCCAGAGGTGCAGGGGCAGTGATAGGATTCACCAAAGACAGAGTGGGGAGCAGAACAGGCAGAGGTACTGTAGTATATACTGAGGGGGCAGCAGGTGGGTCAGGAGAGGTCTGCCAAGCCATGTGGGTCAGCTTCAGGGCCAGGGATCGAACTCACACTGAGGTAGCCACCATCAGCTTTGCAGTGTTGCACTCCAATCTGCTGCACCACCAGGGAGGGTCTGTGATTTTTTTTAATGTTAGAACTCAAAGGGACTGCAGGAATTATCTAGAATGCCAACAGAAATGTGGAAATGTGTTGGGGCGGGTTAGATTCACCATGTTGGCTGTGTGAGCTGGGAGGATCACTATTGTAAAAGGGAGCATCTGAGATCCCCTTCTCCTGCTGTTCATCAGCTGACTTGGGAATCTGTCCCAAATACATATTTAATTGCCTAGCCCTGAGATGTTGTTAGTGTAAGTTATAAGGAGAAAGACAAATCCAAATATGACTTCACTCCTTTGTGGAATATAAAGAAGAAAAGCAAAGGAACCAACAGAACTAAACCAAACAGGCCCTAGATATCTGACTGCAGCCCTGAGGCTACAAGGGGTGGTAGGTGGGAGTGAGCGGTCAAAGGGAGAGGAGCACCATGGGTGAAGGTGGAGGACTGCAGGGGCTTGCATGGCAGGTGTGGGTTGGGTACACACATCTGAAGAGGTGTGAATCTGTACCCCTAAATCATACACACTACTGTGAACAGTATCAATTCAACTTTAAGAAATACAATTAGAAATGATTGTTCTACCCTGAGGTAAACCTCCAAAGCGCATGAAAGGCACCTACACAAGCTGATGTTGGCCACCCACCCAAGGTCTGAGGGTCCTGGGAAGGCCCTTCTAAGACTCTTGGAATCTTCTCTAGAATCTTGGAAACATTTCCACTCTGTAACTCCAAAGACTGTTGGTTTCACTGCATATCAATTGTTCTGACCCCAAAAGCCATGACTAAAGTGAGAACAACAGCAGGCTACAGCTCCAGGTCATGAGGGCCTCATTCTGCTCCCTGTTGGGAGCCAGGGTCCCTATTCATTGCTTGCTCCAAGGAACACACCCCTCCAAGAGATGGCTCATTCATCAGTTTTGTGGGCGTAGTGAGACAGTTTCTATGCCGGGGGTGGTGGTGCCCCCTTCTCCCGACCCAGGCGTAGGAGTGCCCAGTAATCTCCTGATAGGACGTGAGCTGTCCTCTACAGGAAGGACACACATGATCTGGAATCTTCCTCCTGGGCCTCCACAGCTGGCTTTGGTGAGCCAGCCCACACCACATAACGGGCAACCTTCCCTGAGCTCGGTCTCCACCCTGGGCTCGGCAGAGATGTTTCACAGACTATATAAATGCCGTGGAAGTCCATTTTGCTCGCCATCAAAACAGGGAAAAATAGAAATTCTCCATTGATGTAGAAGGCTGTAGCCTTGAAAGCTACATAATGTTATGACCCCTTGTTACTCCAATAAAAATATATCGGTTCACTGTCATCCCCCTCAGCTGTGTTAGCCATCCAGAACACATGTACCTAAAATAATAACTTAATAATAAAGTGGGCGCTTGCTTCTATGGATATCTGGTAAATTCATTTTGAAAGAATTATTTCTGCTAGGGAGATAATGGTTATTTCCACAGTTTGTTTTCCCCAATACTATAGTCTAGAAGGAGGCTTTCTTCTAGACCTGAGAGAAAAACCGCCAAAATCAGCAATTCACAGACAAGGAGATAGGAGCGGCCAGCACATTTCACCAGCAGACTGGCAGCAAAGTAGAATTTAGGAGGCATCAGGTGCTGGCCACCCAGGGACTGAAGCGCTGACTGAGCTGACTGGAGTTGAACGGGGTGTGAATTGGCACAGCCGCACAGGGCGGGCAGTTTCTGTTACCACGCAGCACATCTGTGCCCTAGCTCATGCTCTGTGATCTACCTGGGAAAGCACCCGTGCAGAAGGAAATTTGCTTGACTCTGTTTACTGCAGCCTTCAGAGCCATGTGAATGGAACAGACTGGGTATATGTGGGGACCAGCTAAGTCCCGGCATATTCACACCTACCATCCATAGCGAGAAGACTAACAGAATGAGGTAGATTACTGGCATGGAAACACCATGCCTTCTTAATATATGAAATTGGCAAATTAAGAAAAAAGATTAAATAAAATCCATTTCCTTCAGTAATAAAGCACTTATGCTTTCTTTGTGGGCACAGACATACAAGAGTAAAGGCACACACTGCGCCCTTAGGGCTTCCTCCCACACAGGGCTCCGTGACCTGTGTCTTCAGAAGAGGGGCTTGGTCTGGGGCGGCTCATCAAAGAGATTTTCACTGTGCAGTCTTCATTTTTTTCACCAATCATGCTTCTGTATTATTCATCAAATTAAAAATGAAAGGTGAAAAATGGGAAGTGGGCAATTTGGAGTGGCAGAAAAACAACCATTGTCCTTTCACTGTCAGGCTCATTCTGTCAATTTCTGCTTCTGTGTTCTTGGAGGAAAGCCCCAACATCATAACCTCATCATCATAAAACAAAGGGGATACAGAGACTACTAGGCTCTGAAAGAGTTTAAAGGTTCACAGGGGATGAACCCATCAAATGCCACAGGAACTTCATAAAGATTAATGCCAGTGAGCCATGACTCCAGCATTTAAAAAAAGGACAAGAAACAGTGCATCCCAGTAGCAGCAGTATCTGGAGCCAAGGAATCATTGGTGCCAAATCAATTCTCTTTTCCAGAATTACCCAAGATGGGGGTGGGAAGGGCAGCCTAGGTCCTTAGTGCCAGCCTGGTGTTCTTAGGCTGCTGACCCAGGAGCCCCTGTCCACCTAAGCTTCAGTCTCACCATCTGCACAGGGAAGAGTGTGATTTGGCATCTCTGCTTTCTCTAAGTTGATCACTTTAAAAAAGGAACACAGAGGAATGTTCTTCCTCTCATATCACGAGGGAAATTCAAGTCAAAACCGCAAAGAGATACCTACCAGCTCATACCGACGAGCATGATTGATATCTAAAGACAAGAAAACAGTGATGGAGAAAGTGTGGACAGAGGGAAGCTTTGTACTCTAGGAGTGGGGGTGTAAATATGGAAAGCAGAATGGGGTTTCCTCAAGAAAATCAAAAATAGAACTACCATGATCTACTTATCCCAAGAGTGGATATTATCCAAAAAGTACAAAACCACTAACTGAAGATATATGTATATCACCACATTATTGTTGCAGCACTATTTACAATAGCCAAGAACTAGAAACAACCTGCATGCCCATCAATTGGAAAATAGGTAAAGAATACATAAACATATACACTGGAATAATACTCAGCTTTTAAAGAAAAAAATGAAACCCTGTCTTTTGAAGCAACATGAACGGGGTTACTATGTTTAGTGAAATAAATATGCTTTCACGCAAATGTGGTAAACAGAGAAAAACGGATGCACTAAATAAAACAAAAATAAACTTTTGGATTATAAAAAAAGATACAAAAGGCACAAGTGAAGAACAGTTTCCCAAGCACTGACTGCTTAAAGCAGGGTTGGAAGAACCCCAGTGTCCAGCCAGCAGTGGGAAATGTGGGTGCAGATCCTGGCAGATTTTATAACAACTCCACTCCCCAAGAAAGCCCCCAGCCCACACACACACCTTAAGTTCCTGGGACCAAGTGAAGATGAGGGACTCTGGCAAAGAGGGTGACAGGTATAACTTTCATTCTGTTGGCTGTCCCCTAGAGCTTGGGGAAGCAGTTAAGTGAGCCATCCCTACAGGGACAGGTTCTTGGAGGACATCTGCAGGAAGCACAGGGGCTCAGAGCTGAACCCCACTGTGCAGAGACTGTGGAGGGTGAGGAAAGGTTCTCTCAGGTGGGGACCAAAGGATACACAGAGCTAGAGGGGAAGAAAGGCAGGGAACACATGGCAGAGGCTGGAAGGGCAGAGGGAGTATTTGTTTTCTTTGCAATATAGCTGCTTTCTCTTACAGCATATTTGAAAGCTCCATGTGCAAATAATTACAACTTTTAAAACTGCACAATCCTAATTTGAGGATTTGCCTAATTCTCAAATCCTGCATTACTAAAGCCAGTCTTATCCAACCCCTCATTTCATAAACGGAAAAAAGATATCAATATAGACATGTTCCCAGCATCAACATCAGCGACCCAGACAAGCCCAAAACAGCTTGCCATACTGCACTGGGCTACATATTCCCAGGAGACCTAGAGCAGTGTATACATCAGCCATTGTCCAAAACCTGAACAGCAGGCAGAGAAGAAACCTCTCCTTGAAGCCTCATCCCCAGCAAAGCAAAAAGCAAACAAAAACTCTTGAAAAGAAAGTGAACAAGAACTATAGTAAGAGTCCTTACTGAAGAGAATGCCCTGACTCTGACTGCTGAACGCTTTGCAGAGAACATTTGTCCTTCTGCTTCATTGGACCTCTTCTTTCTGTGTCTCTTCTTTCTACAGCTGCTATTTCTGACATAAAAACAAGCTACTCCCACCCTAAAGTCCCCATGTGAGTCTCAGATAAAACTGTATCATTTATCATAAGAAAAGGGAGAAAATCTGGGTGGGAGGGATGCAGGAATGAAAAGGTGGTTGCTTTCCTGGAACCCATCAGACAGGGAACTGCATGCCAAGGCCCAGGTCCACAGACAACACTAGGGAATTTCCAAAAACTTACTCAGATAAAGTCGCCCAAGCTCAATCGCCAGCCAGAGGACGAGAGGTGCTTTAGACATTTTGACTGTTAGCAGAGCCTGGAGTCTGTTTCTCTAGTCAAAGTCTGTTTCTTATACCCAAGTTAATGCTGACAAGGAAGGACTTTTTAGTTTCATATCTCTTTTTGCCTCCTAATCTTCCCTTTCCCCACTCCTGAGTGACCTCCCTCTATCTGGGATATATAAGAAAATGTGCTGAGCCACCAGGGTGTGTGTGCAAATGTGTGGGGTGAAGGATAGGCAAACAAGAACTCCCTTGCAGTACACAGGGGGTTTTCCACATGTGCACGAGCATGCACAGTGTGCCTGTTAACAGGCACTTGTGTGCAGGTGCATGGGGATCCATGTGTGTGCGTGTATTCAAGTACCCACATGTGCCTGGTATGCATGCATGAGCCATAAATAAACTATGGTCCTTCTCGCTACAGGGCAACTGGTAATATAATGAAGTTAACAATCTTCCTCATCCCCATTGTGAAAAATTCCTCATGGGGGCCAAAGGAAGGGCAGACTGGAATTTAACTCTGCTCTCACTCGGGTTCTCCCTCACCCAGACTCTTGGTCCCCTTGACTGATAACAGACAAGGAAAGAGTCAATCACCTCATAAGCCAAAAACACCACTAGAATCTTTAGGGCTCACTAGAGGAGCCATAATGTGATGGCTCAAGCCCAAGGTCTGCACACGATTCCATCATTTGTTAGTGAAGCTCTCTATGGAGAAAAACACAAAACAGAATCCATTACCATAGACACAGAACCTGAACTAGAGAATATTTATGACCTATCTGGACTCTCTGAGTCAGTGATGTGGCCATAGAACAAATTAGAGGAGAATAAAGCAAAGTTTATCAATGAGATATGTTTCCTAAAACAAATTTATATATTTTCATTAGCCAGGTACTCAGATAAGTGAGACTGATGTAAAGGAAGAACTAGATGATATTATTATTCCTATTTTATAGATGAGGAAACAAAAAGCCTTATAAGCCTTAAGAGAGGTAAGTGACCTTCACAAATGAAAAGTTGTAGAAACAGCAATCAAGCCTAAGACTTGAATCCAAGATGAACGTATAACTTGTTTTTTGATCAACAGAATGTGGAATAAATGATATTAAGTGACATATAGGGCAGGTCATCTGTTTGCAGATTACTCCTGAGTCCAAGGACTGATCCTCAAATCCACACACTAAATTACTACAAGTTCCTTTAAACTGGAACCTTAGTGTAATTCAGTCTTGAAAAAAGCATACAAGCCCCAAGGAAGAAATTCAAGGATGCCAAATATTTCAGATTTTCTAAAAAAAATTCTGTATTAGACTGTAACCAGTTAAGCTAGCACCAATATACTAAAAGTACTAGTGTATTGGGTGAAGCTCTGAACTTGGAAAAGACAGAAAGTGGGGAGAGGGAATGAAAGAGATTCAGAGACATCTTCCCACTAAATGCCCACTGAATTGTGAGACTCTTCACCCAGGAAATGGGGATTTAATCCATGGGCAAATTGAATGGGCTTAATAAAATGCTTAAAAAATTGGTATTTGCGTGACCTGCAGCAATATCACCCAACCCTCTTCAATAAGGATACTGGGGTATGAATTTTAGCCTTGCAAATCTTCCTAGTTTCTATTGTATAAATAATAACCAAGGATGACCAGACTTTGGGGAAAGTCCTCAACTTGAAAAAGATACAAAGACAACATCCAATATACCTTCCTTCCCTCCCCCTCTCTCCACAGTAGTGGGGAGGGACTCCCCCAATGATTGGATTATGTTAAGGGACACAGAGACAACTAGAAAGAACTTCCAATGGCTAAAGCTAAACAATCTAAGTAACAGAATGAATAGTACTAGGGTATAACCCTAAATGGCAAATACATATTGATGAATCCACACTGATTCAACATATGTGGTTGAATCTACAAATAAGGAGCAGAAGAGACAAATCTGTCCAAAAGCATTGCAAATAATATGTATAGCTACGCCTTCCTCCAGGGAGCTCTCACTCCTTAAGCGTGAGCTGGACACAGTGACTTCCTTCCAAAACAACAGCAAGCATAGAGAAGGACGTGGAGAGACTACGCTGTGGAGACCTGGCAAACACTCCTCAGGCAGGTGATAAAAATATATCAGTATTGGTTTGCTAGTGGTAAGAAATAAACCCCACCAATCTATAAATATAGAGAAAAGTAGGCTTTCAGATGGGTATTCTGTAACTATCTTCATAGTTTTTGTAAATTTAATGCTATTCTAAAGTTTAATTTAATGCATACATTCTTTTACTTTACAAATGCAATATAGTAATTTGGTATCTGGAACAGGTGGAAATAAAGAACAAGCTTATGTTTTTCTTTTCCTAAGTCAGCATCATGGACGTCAGGAAATTCATAAATAACTAAAACTGAGTACTTGATTTGTATCACCAGAATAAAGCATATTATTCTCAAGAGCAGGTCCATGGTGTCCTACGCCTTCCCTGACTTCATCACTTTCCTTTCCTGTATAAGTGTTACCTCTGGAGAAGCCCACCTCTCTCATTCTCCTTCAATACAGTTTAGGTGCAATTACTTTCATGCACAGCCATTGGGGACCAGGCAACTTACCAATACAAAACCAAGGATACAAAATCGTGGCACAATGACTGGAAATTTTCAGAGAGTGGGAATCTCCTTGTTTTCCAAAGTTCTTTGAGTTGGGAAGACATGAGTCAGAATCTAATATTATCTATCACGCACCCAGCAGCTGAAGCCTTCCTGATAAAAGAACTGATCAGACAGAAGGCAAGTGGGGAAAGAAAGAAGCTTGGCCTAGGGTGTGGCTTGAGACACAGAAACAAAGTACATTGGCGTGCCAATAAATTCACTTGAAGACAGTTGGTGCTGGGTTGCAGTCATGGAATCAAAAACCCCAACTTCCCAGAGGTTCCTCTATATTGTGTTAATTTGGTTGGATGACTGACATTTTTCCAATCTTAAGAAGTTACACTATCATCTAGCACAACCACCTCTTCACCGAGCAGCAGAAGTTGCGGACACTGGGAATAAAAATAAATAAGGTATAGACTCTATCCTGAAGAATCCACCAGTTTTAAGTTTTTAAGCATCTTATAAACAAGACCACCAGTGGCCAGGGAAGATGAAAGACTATTAAATCATAGGAAGAAAACAGAACCCAGGCTTTCTGTAGAAGAATTCTTTGTGGTAATGAATAGTTCCTTTCCAGTGAGTGGGGTTAAGTGTAACCCACATTCATTCATTTTTACTTTTTCATTTCTGCATCAGTGATAGCAAGGGTCAGCCACTAGCCACGCTCAAGTCCAGCCCACCACCTACATTTGTAAGTAAAGTTTTGCTGGAACATAGCCATGACCGCGCTGGCGTCTGCCTGTGGTTGCTTGTGCTCTGCAATCAGAGTTGAGGAAATGCAGCAGATAAGTCATGATCTACAACGTCAAAAAAGATATGCTTGATAGTCTAAACAGAAAAAGTCAACCAAGCCCTGAACTGCCCCCGCACACCTACTTGCTATGGGTCAGCCTCTGCAGGAGGCTCTGAGCAGGGCCCGGGCTGCGGCTGGAACCTCCTTGCTGAGACCAGCAAGCCAACAGAGCGCAGAACAAGGCGCATGTTTTGCCAGGGAAAGCGCCGGGCCGTGTGTACCCAATCTGGAAATGCAAGAGGAATGCCTGGTCCTCTTTTGAAGTCTAGTCCTAAAAGACTCTGGAGAGGGTTAGGGTGAACTGAAAAACCCTTCAGGCAGAGTGAGCAGCATATAAAGTTCAGTGGTATCACAGAGAGGCACGTCAGACTAATAGAAGAATTTCAGTTTTACAGGCGCTTTTTAACTTAACAATCAATGAAGATAGAAATAGAATAAAATAGAGCTACATGTAGACCAGCTATGAGACCGTGCAGTGATGCAAGGATGGTGATGGAGGTGTGTGTGCATATTTGTGGGTATTTATGTGAGTGTTTATTCATGTGTGTGTGTGTGATATCTATGTGTTTGTGTGTCTGTCTGTGTTGTGTGTGTGCATATAAAATTTGCCCTGGCAAATCTTTAGTTACCAAGAGAATTCCAAGGACCATGTGAGGAGGCAGGAACACAGGCAGGATCAGATCACACAGGGCTTGATAAGCCACAGAAAGGAGAAGAGACACTGTCCTGAGGGCAACGAGGAGTCTGAGCGTAAACCCTATAAAAGAAAGAATTCCACAATAGGAAGTATTTTCACTTAAAAAGCTGTCCAGAACTAACTCACTGTAAGATCCCTAAATCTCCCTTATGTATTCTCTTGGGGTCAGGAAGTGACTTTGGCTTGCAAAGTTAGCCATTTTTAGTGGGGAGAGGGAAGTAGAAGGAAAGCTACTGAGTATTGTCAGTCAGGGGTTCTTCTCAGCAAGCTTTGTCTCCATAACCCCTAACCTGCTCTGTTATAGTCTGGGATTTCCCATGTGATGGGACATCAGACTGCCTTCCCTCTCATCACCTACCAGCCATGTGGCTGGGGGCAGTTTACTTAACCTCTGTGTGCTTATCTCCCCTCTGCTAAATGGAGATAATAAGCCTACAACTTGAATTGCTGTGGACACTAATTGAGATGATTCGTGGAAAACATTTAGCAGAGTGTCAGGCAAGTGGTGTACACATTAGCTATGATTCAGGCAGGTGCTATTCAGATAGCAGTAGCAAAGAAGACTGAAGAATTTGTAGGCCCATATCTGACTCTGGCCTTCTCAACATCCTTCCCTTTGTAGGATAGGCCCTGCCTCATAGTGTCAATTTGTCTATCATATAGCTAAGATGTGCATATGGATGGCATGTCCTTGGCCCTTGGAACAAGGCCAAGGAGAGAGATTGGTTTACTTTGAGGACTGGGTTCCAAAACCAAGTTCCAAAAGAGCCATAGAGAATCATGGGAAAGAAAAGTAGGAGGAGGATCACTGTCCATCTCAAAGAGGATGTATGTGGCCAAGCCCCCACTCACAGGCTTCCTTCCAAACAGTCCATGTGACCTCCATCCTACCTA